ATTAGTACCTAATTGGAAATTATCATAAACAAGTGAAATGTTTTGTAATTTCTGATTATTGATAGGCGATAGCTATTGTCAACTCACATCGCCCTATAGTCATTTGCTTGACCAACTCTGTGTACTTAATCATATAACTGTAAAATGATTGTAATTAGTACTCGTACATGCATTTTAATTAGAAACACAATAAACGAATAGGTAACTAAATTACTTAAGTTGATAATATGTACAGTGAAATAGTACATTGGACAATTTAGGAAAATGAAAATGTGTATGTTACTAATGGAAGTTCGCTTATAGAAGCATTTTTTTTTTTTGAAAGTAACAGTTCACTATTAAAAATGTGTTCGCTATTAAAGAGTGTTCAAAATATAGATATTAGATACTACTGTATTTTGTTTTAATTTTGTGCATAGCATCAATAAAAATCATAAATATAAATATTGTCATTTTAATTTCTAAGCATATTAAAATGTAATCTAAATTAATAAAATATTAAAGGGATATCTACTGTAGCTGCTATTATTCCTGTATTAAGATTAAAATTTTAAGTTTTTTTTTTAATTATCTACCTAATCAATACCTATAGTCATTACATTTTTCAGAAAAATGAATTCATAATATTTAAAATAAATTGTTTCTATAAGATAAAGTTGATATTATGATAAAAGAATTAAAATAAAATCAAGTTGACTTATATGGTTCTAATATAGTATAAACTTGGGACACTTGGATAGGTACTTAGTAAACTAAATTTAAAAAAAAATTATATATACACATTTGTTATGATGAAAGATTTGAATAATTTAAGTAACAACTCTGTAACAATTTAAATTGATGTAGAGGTTTGCTTTATGACTATTCTAAAGCTTTTACTGACTTAAAATAAATTCTCTAAAAAATAACTTGTTAATATTCAATCTTATAAGATCAATATAGGTAACTTCTTCACTCCTGTTTAAAATCTAAAATAAAATATTCAATATTTTAAATGTTTTCGTAAATAATTTAGTGTGTCAAGGTAATAAAATATAGGTGGTTAAAGTATAGGTACCTACTGAAATTAGGATTATTCTGTTTTCATAATAAGTTCCACCAATATTTTCCTTATTTTATACCTTAATTAATTGATCATTCATGAAATATTATCAAAATATTAGTCCTCATAATCAATTATTAGAACTGAAAAAAATGTATTAGATACAATTAATTAAAAAATATAAGRSGTAAAAAATGCATTTTCAATAGCTATAGTATTGTATGTTATTAYTTATTTTGTGACAATGTATAATGCATTATAACTTATAAGTTTTAAGCCCAATATTTTTACTTCGAATCTTTAAACTTTTAAACTGTTATTATTTTCTCGTTTATTATACACAGGTATGTATTATACTTTGCTAATACTTACTGTATATTATGTAAAGATTAAAGATTTAAAGATTAATAGGTACTTAACATATTATAATACTTTAATATATGTATGTAAAACTATTAGATGCGCTTTATTCTGTAAACTTTTATTTGCATATGTCATTTGTATTTTCATTAACAATTGTCGAATGTAAAAATTATGTTCTTACACGATATGACCAGTTGATTAGACCAGTCATGACTCATGGATGATAACATTGTATAATATGATTAATGAAAAACTAAAGATTTTTACAGTAAAATGGTTGTAAACTATTCCGAAGTTATTATCAATTTTCAATTAATAGACATGTTATTTTTTTTTTAGGTATTTGTGGGCTTATCAAGATGATACTAATGATACAATATAATAATCATTGATCATTTATATTTTAAAAGAAATAATTTCTAATGTTAATTTAGAGTAAGCATCTACCTAACTTGAAAAAGTAAAATGGCATAATAATAGAATCAATATTATTTAATCATAATTATAATAACATAAAAACTAGTTTAGTAACCATGTTTCTATAAATCGTTAAGCACTAACTGTAGCCATAATGTTCTTATATTTTACAGGYACTTGAGCTACTTCTTACATAGTTTCGATGTCTCGTCGATCATTGTCACATGCAGCTGTTGGTCGATGACGAAATATATTATAATAAATCTATGCACTAAATTCGAACATTTTTTTTGTTTTGAAATATATCACAAAAGTTTAAAGTTATTTTTTCAAACTGTTTTATAGTAAACTCAAGTCCCGATTTAATATTATTTTTTTTATTGCCTTGCATTTTTAATACTAGAAGTTTATGATGGGTGGAGTAGGTACCTACGACTGTCCAAATATTAGATAGTCGAAAAACTATGTATAGTATTCAAATAAATAATAGTAGATAAATCAATATTTTATTATATTTATTATAATTTATAATTAACMTTATATTGTTTAATAAATAATGTTTGAAAATATTGAAAAAAAAATAATTACAATTTCAAGTGATTTTATAGTAACAATAACAAGTTTTAAAAATCATACACTAACTGATTTATTTACTTAAAGTGTGTAACTTATTGTTYACACTACTACAGCTAGTTTGCAATAAAAAGGAATATGTAATAGAGGATGCATTTTTTATAAAACGAAATATAACATACACGTGACCTTACTATAGTAACTAAAAAAAAAAAATTAATTGAATAATTACCTTTTTTTTTTAATCTCAGTTTAGTGAATATTTTTCCTTTTTTTTTTACATAAAAAATTTAGAGTTTAACAAACTGTTTACTATTAACTTAACGTTCTTAATGTTGACTTACCTTGACTAATACTAATGTAAATTTGTTTTATTACTAAACTTGCATACATTTAAAAAATAACTGATAACTATGTACTTAGATTATTTTCATTTGGCTTAATTTTATGATTTATATAATATGTGAATATCAAATACTTTTTTTTGAACATACGGCATTCAGATTTCAAAAATGTGTCAATCATTATTGATTTAAGTAAAATGTCTAATGTTGGTATTGCAAAATGCTATCCAATTTTTAGTTTGTAGTTATTTGGCCGGTGCACTTATATATATAGACATTATAGAGCATATTCTGAATTGGGGCAAATTATTATTTTTCTGATTAAAATGTTTGAAATGGTCTTAAATCTTATATTTAGAACTACAATTATTAATTATAATATATATTATCTAAAGTTTAGATTCTAAACCTTTTAATTTTCTTCGTTTAGCCTAGCATTATTACTTTTTTTCACTGCATATGCACATCTCTGATCTTCCGTAAAGATTAAAATCCACTCTACAAAATTTTTGAAATGTAATAAAATATATTAAATAAAATTCAACCCTCCGGGGGCCACTAACTAGTGGTACGAGTATGGTTATCATGGAGCCGCGAGCTCTAAACTGAACTTGCTTTAATTAGTTCGTTCAGTTGGTGCTAGTGTAGTGTGCGATCTACCACTTACGTGTGCTCTACCTGTGATCTACCTACTATCCAGTTCTTTATCGGTGATTTATCGTTAACAACGTTAATGTTATATTTCGTCTCCGATAGTCGATAATAATTTAGTGTGCTTTTCAATTTCGACGACGCACATAGTCTTTATCCGTCATTATTTTCGTCTATTTATTTAATAAAGTCTATTTGACTCTATTTCCTTATATACTGAAAAAAAAGAGATGCGTACCTATCCTGCAAATGGCTAAAACGAAACTTATATTATGTGGATGATTATTATATTTTATATTTCCAAAAACAAACTGGTAGATCGCACGCTATACCAGAAAYGAGYTGGTAGATSACACGTAAGCGGTAGATCGCACGCTACACTAGCACCGTTCAGTTTTAGCAATGGCGTAGCGAAAGTGGCACCCCAATCGCCCAATTCACTTTGATGTATTGTAATAGCCTTACCTTGACTTTAACTGGTTGTAGGTCCTCCAAGAAAGGACCGTTAAGCAATTGGCCAACGACTTGTAAAAAAGTAATGTTAGTAAGCTAAAACCAAATAAGCCTAGGACACAGATTATTATGGAAAAGGAACCGAAACGGCCAGGAAACATGGAATATTATATCGTTATATGAACCTGATGCACTGAAATCATTATCAGACGCTATTAGAAAATACAAAAGTGTACTAATAACTGCATAACAAGAGATCAGGTGGCCAGGAGAAGGAAGCGTCAAAATAGAAGGAATGATATTATTTTATAGTAGTGATAAGGACGGTAGACGTATAAATGGAGTGGATTTTCTAGTTAATGAACTTTTATTACCTCATGTAAAGCATTTTGGACCAGTAAGCAACCGAATATGCTACATGCGCATAGCTGATAAATATGGTGACTTAATATTAATATGTGTATATGCCCCTACTGAAACAGGATCCAATGATGAAAAGGAGATGTTTTTTGAAGAACTAGAAAGGTTGTATGATAAATTGCCTAACCACTGCATAAAAATATTTTTAGGAGATTTCAATGCCCAAGTGGGAAATGACATAATGTACAAACCTTGGGTTAGAGGAGAAAGTGCTCATTATATTAGTAATGGAAATGGAATGAGACTTATTGAGTATGCTATCGCTAAGGACTTGATCATAACTAGCAACTTTTTCCCCAGAAAGCTATATAAGATACATAAGGTAGATAAGATATATAAGCACACTTAGACAGCTCCAAATAACGTTCATAAAAGCCAAATAGACCATGTTTTGATAAACAGTAATCATAGATCTAGTATTAGCAATATTAGATTACACAGAAGAGCTGATTGGGATTCTGACAATTTTTTAGTTCTTATCTGTTATAAAAAGTCAGTAACACGCAAACAGAAGTTGAATAATAAGAATCCCTGTAGATACAATATTGATAAATTATATGWTACTACGACAATAGAACAATATCAAAAAGGAATTGCTGAGAAACTAGATCAATATAATCCAAATTTAGATAAAAACGTTGATGACGCATGRAAACGAATTAAAAACTCTATTTTAAATGTGGTGGAGGAGACTATAATACAACGTCAGCGTATTGATTAAATCAAACCCTGGTTTAATCAAAAGTGTGAAGATGTAATCAAACATATAATATATAGTATATGAGTTTAAAAAAAAAGAGGCTAGGTACTAAAATAAGACAGCAA